TGACTCAAAAAGGCATGGTTTAGAGGTAATATGTACAGTGGAATTTATTCAGCATTGAAAAAGAGAAATTCTGACATGCTACAACATGGGTGAACCTTGACGTAATGCCCAATGAAATAAGCCAGTCACAGAAGGACAAATACTGTGTGATTCAACTTATAAGTGGTCCCTAGAGGAGTCAAATTCAGGAGACAGAAAGTAGATGGTGCGTGCCAGAGGCTGGAGGAGGAGGAATGCGCAGTTAATCTTTAATGGGGACAGTTTCAGTTTGGGAAGATGAGTGAGTTCTGGAAGATGAGAAAGTGGAGACAGTTGCACAAAAATTTGAATGTACTTAATACACTAAAAGTGTAAACTTAAAATGGTTAAAATGAAAACTTCTATGTTAAATATATTTTACCAGAATAAAAAGGGCATGGTTTAATCAGGGAGTAACTCTGACTCATTGCTAGTTCCTACATGTATTTCTAACTTGGTTGACCCAAACCAGACTACCTGAGTTTAAATTCTAGCTCTTCCCTCACTGGCTGTGTGACCTTGGGCAAGTTACATAACCTTTATAGCCTCAGATTCTGCGTTTAAAATATTCAAGAGAAAACCACAAGCCCAAAATGGTGTCAGTCATGCTAAAAGCCCATGATGCCAAATCTAGATTTAATACCTGATCTAATTGAGTTTCAGCCTTTCCCAGAAATATAATTTTAATCAACCAGCCTGGAATTTCCTGGTCAAGCACTGTAAGGTAATCTTTCATGAGCCCTCTCCACCCCACATAGAAAGAAGAGGCAGTCTGCATGGTAAAAGCGCTTCCCCTTTTCTTCCCCCTCCAAAAAATGTCCCAGCCCAAAATAATCCTTCGTTTTCTTTTGTCAATATCCCTTGCTCCATCCTTCTTCCTATAAAACTTTCCATTTAAAAATTTTTCTATTTATTTGTTTTAGAGAGAAAGGAAGGGAGGGGGGAGAGAGAGATTAATTTCTTGTTCCGATTATTTCATACATTTATTGGTTGATTCTTCTAGGGGTCCTGGCCAGAGATTAACTTCACAATCTTGGTGTATCTGGACAATGCTCTAACCAATTGAGTTACCTGGCCAAGGCAAAACCTTCCATTTTGTACATAAACCCCAAAGCACCCTTTTACTTGCTAAATGGGGTGCTACCTGATTCATGAATCACTTAATAGAGCCAATTTGGACTTCAAATTTACTTAGTTGAATTCTACTTTTTAACAAAAATACTGAATAATACTTTCCTCTCTGCATATGAGAGCATACGAGTGGAGATCCCAATAAAAAGAACCCCTGATGCGTCCTGCTGTAAGCCTTGCCCTACATCAATGGATCTCACCCGGGAGTGCCTCTGCCCCCAGTACACACTGGGTGGTGTCTGGGGAAATCTGTGGTTGTCACAGAGGGAGTACTCCTGTTACGGAGTGCATGGAAATCAGAGATGCTCCTCAACACCCTACGGTGCCTGGGCCGCCCACCCCTCACAGAGAATCATCCTGCCCTGAATGTCCATGGTGCTGAAGTTGAGAAAAAACCCATATGTGTTTTTTGGTTTTTGTTTTTTTTTTAAATAATATGCTCATGTTGGAGGGTATGGTTCGGTGGATGGAACATCAGCCTGCAAACCAAGAGGTCACCAGTTTGACTTCCAGTTGGGCACATGCCTGGGTTGCAGGCCAAGTTCCCAGCTAAGGGAATGTGAGAGGCAATCGGTCTATGTTTCTCTCACATATCAATGTTTTTCTATCTCTCTTTCTCTTTCTCCCTCCCTTCCCTTCTCTCTAGAAACAAATAAATATTTTTAAAAATAAAAATAAATAAAATAATATGCTCAAAATTTTGACAGTGTGGATAGTATTCATTCATCCAACACATTTAATGTGCACCTCCTGTCTGCTGCCACACATTGACTGAGGTGCTAGAGACACAGGACAAGCTTCTCTATCCTGCTAGAGGCAGGACCATGCCTGGAGAGTTGGAGAAATAGGAAGGATGCCCCTGAAGTTGCAGAGTGGGAGCGGCAGAGTAAGCAAGGGCAGAAAGGGACACGGCATGTGTTGTAGAAACTGCGGGCTTTGGGAAGACTTTGGCTTTTACCCCAGGGAGGTGAGACCTGTAGGGCTGTGGTTAGAGGAGGGGCAGGCAGGACCTAAGGTGCTCCCAGGCACCCTCTGGTGGCTGTTTCTAAGACAGTCTTGGGGCAAGTACAGAGGGGACTGTGCTGGTCCATGTGGGAGATAATGGGAGCTGAACCCAGGTGGCCCTCATGGAGCAGGTAAGAAGTGGGCTGATTTACAACAGATTTTGGACCATGGAACAGACGGGTTTGGCTGATGTGTTGGATGTGAGAGATGAGAGGAGAAGTCTAAGCCGACTTCAAGATTTTGGCCCAAAGAAGGTGAAGGATGGAGCTTCCATCAGCTGAGATGGCGAAAGGAGCAGGTTTGGTAGGGAAGATGGAAAAAACGCTCAGCATTAGCATGAAGAGTGTGAGACAGGGTGAAGAGCCCACATGCAGATGCAAGGGCAGCTAGACACGGAATCCAGAGCTGTCAGGGAGGCCAGGTGCTGCAGGGATAGATTTCTCAGTCATGTTAGGATTGCAGGAGGTGGAACACATGTTGCAGGAGTCTATTTACATGAAATGTGCAGAACAGGCAAATCCTTAGAGACAGTGGATTTGTGGTTGCCAGGAGCTGGGGAGGAGGTTAGAGAGTTACTGCTAAGGGGGATGGTGTTTCCTTTTAGGGTGATTAAAATTAGAATGTAATGCCCTGACCAGTGTGGCTCAGTTGCTTGGACGTTGTCCCACAAAGTGAAAGGCTGCAGGTTTGATTCCCAGTCAGGGATTATGCCTGGGTTGTGGGTTCTTTCCTGAGCAAGGCATGCCCAAGAAGCAACCAACTGATTTCCTCTCTCACATGTTTCTCACCCTATCTTTCTCTCTCCTTTCCTCTCTCTCTAAAAATAAATACATAAAATAAAATAAAAAATAAAATAAAAACATAAAATGTTTAAAAAATTCAAATGTGGTCTATCAAAATTCTTTACGTGAATATTAAATTAAAACAAACCTCTTGGCCCTGGCTGGTGCGGCTCAGTGGACTGAGCGCAGGCTGCAGACCCGGCAGTTACCAGTTCGATTCTCAGTCAGGGCACATGCCTGGGTTGAGGGCCAGGTTAAGGAGTGCTTGAGGGGCAACCACACATTGATATTTCTCTCCTTCTCTTCCCCTCTCTCTAAAAATAAATAGGTAAAATCTTTTAGCCTGGCTGGTGTAGCTCAGTGGATTGAGCTCGGGCTGCGAACCAAAGGATCGCTGGTTTGATTCCCAGTCAGGGCATGTGCCTGGGTTGCAGGCCAGGTCCCCAATGGGGGACGCGTGAGAGGCAACCACACATTAATGTTTCTCTCCCTCTCTTTCTCCTTCCCTGTCCTCTCTCTAAAAATAAATAAAATGTTTTTTAAAATCTTTTAAAAACACACACACACAAAAAACAAACCTCTTGCCCTTGCCAGTGTGGCTCAGTTGTTTGGAGTATTGTCCCATAACCGAAAGGTTGCAAGTTCCATTCCCAGTCAGGGCACATATCTAGGTTGCAGGTTCGATCCCTGGTTCGGGTGAGTACTGGAGGCAACCAATTGATGTTTCTCACATCGATGTTTTTCTCTCTCCTTTCCTCTTTCTCCAAAAGCAATGAGGTGGGGGCAGGGAGGTGTAAGGGGACTAAATATAACGGAAAATACAATAAAGATTAAATTTTTAAAAAAGGAATAAAGGTGTTTTGGAGATTTAAATTGGTGGACAGTTAAGTAAAATAGATTGCCCTCCCTAATGTGGGTGGGCCTCATCTAATCAGTTGAAGGCCTCAATAAATCAAAAAGACTGACTTCTTCCAGCAAGATGAAACTCTGCTAGCAGATGGCCTTCAGACTTGAACTGCACCTTCAGCTGTTCCCTGGGTCTGCATATGCAGGTGCTTGTCTTTTTATGCACTTGTTCTAGTAAACTTGGCAAGTCACTTAACCACCCAAGACCTGTTTTCTCACATATAAATTGGAACCAAGAATAGTACCTATTTTGGGGGGTTCGCTGGCGCGAGAGTGAAATGATAACATGTTAAGTGCTTAAAACAGGGCATGACACTTATTAGCTAGTATTATTATCATCATCACTCTTACTGTTATTTCCTTGGGAAGTGGAATTGGTGGGTTAAAAGTTGACATCCTTTTTCTAAAAGGCAATCAACCCAGCCATTTTCTTCACCAGCTCCTTTAAATATTTTCTACATATCTTTGTCATTTAAAAAAAGAAAAGCTTATCACCTGGAACAGGTAGAAAATCTGAGCTCCGCTGCCTGTGGGCAGTGGGGAGCCACAGAGAGCTCTTGAGCAGGACTAGGTTCCCGTTACTGAAGATTCCAAAGGGTTACTGCGGCTGAGGAGACAGACAGCGGCGGGGTGGAGGGCGTCGCACGCAGGGTTGAGGGATGCAGGAGCTCCGGGGGTCCCACATTTCTCTGCATGGGGCCAGCCAGTGGGTGCAAAGCTCGAGCTCTCTGCCGCGTCAGGACCCGGATGTGCAGTGCGCGGGGCTCACGGCCCGCCAAAGCAGCACCGCGCCTCGCTGCAAGGCGCCACACTGCACTCACTGGCGGCCGCCGTGCTGGGTTAACCGGCTCCGCCCCCTACGCTGCCCGCCGGGCATCCTGGAACGCATTTGGCGAGTGCCTCACCTAAGGGGCCGCGGCGCTCGGATGCTTTGTGGTCGCCGCCCCGCTCCTTCCCTCCCACCCTATACAAAACCCAGCACTCGTCCCCACTAGTTCTAGGCTCATACCTCTTTAAGAAGCTAGACGAGACCAGGGGTGGGCGTGGTGGCCGCTAGCGAAAGGGGGCACTGTCGGGCCGCCCAGATTGGCCCAAGGCCCGGGCGGCGGCTAGGCGCCTGCGCAGTACTCAGCAGCGCGCACTGTCGAGGCGGGGGAGAAGGGTGTGCGGGTGCTAATTGGCCGGGGCGACGGCCCCGCCTGCGAGTGGCGGGCGGTCACGTGACGCGACGGCTGGGGGCTCCCGGCGCGGGGGACGCTGGTGGCCAAGATGGCGGCGGAGCTGGTGGAGGCCAAAGTGAGTGAGCGGTAGCGGTGCCGGTCTGGGCGAACGGACGAGGGGACGGGGGCCGAGCGGCGGGCTGAGGTTTGCGCGTTCCGCTTGGGATCCCACGGCGCGGCCCGCCCGCAGCTCGGCGCCCAGCCCCCTCTTTCGCCCCCGGCCCCGGGGCTCCGGGTGTGGGAGGGGGGCGGGGAGGCCGGGGGCGGGGCCCCCAAACCTCACCCCAGTCTTTGCGCCCGGGATCGGCCCCGGCTTGAGGCGGGGTTCTTCCCACTCCAGCTTGAGCGCTTAGGGTCTGGGTCTCTCTAAACACGAGCATTGGGCCGCGCCTCCCAGCTTGAGGCACAATCTCCCGGGACAGCATGATGGGTTGGGCTGCTTGTCCCCTCCTCTCCCAGAGCTGGGGTCCTTGCTCTTTGGCCTGGGGGAGTGTCTTCGCCTCCCCACCCCTCTTGGTACAGAGGGCTGGCATCTGGGTCTCAGTTTCCCGATCTTGCAGGCCAAGCTGAGGTTGGCTATTCCCTGCTCAGAAGGGTGTCCTGACCCTTTTACCACCGCTCCCACCATCTGGGGTGATGGCCCAGGGTCCTGAACCACCCCCAAACACAAAGTGTCCTCTTCGGGTCTCTACCCCAGGCTGGAGTTTAGGGCCTGTGTTAGGATCCCAAGTGTGTCCCAGAGCCCCGCCCCCTCTTGATACCTCTGTTCTTGCCCCGGGAGTGAACGCGGTGTTAACTGAGCTTGCCCTGCCCCCTGGGATGGAGTCCTTATCCCTGTTCTTGGTTCAGAGTCTTCCTAACTACTATCTCTTCGTCTTGGGTACCCAGCTCTGTCTTCTTCCTCCCTCTTTCCCCTCAGGACACCATCTCTGAGGTTTTGGGCTCTGTCCTGAGGAAACTAAATCTCATGCAGCATCAGACCCCGTTTTCAAATCTTGGATGCTTTCGTATGCTCTGTTCCCTAGTGAGTCTACTTCTCGGATGAGGCGCCCTCCCCACACTGCCTCCAGAACCTCTGCTTTAGATTCTTTTATGCACCCAGCTCTGGCTTCTGAGCCCTTCTCTTCTTTTTGCTGGATTCTTGTATTGATTTTTGGAGGGTCCTGGCTGGTTCCAGAGTAGGCAGGTCTCTTTCTGGAGGATAGCTCCTGGTGCCTCGCCCCATACTCCAATTTAGGGTCCAGGTTTCACATCCCACAGATACTATCCTTTCTTTTAGCTTGGGATCCCTTTTAACTCTCTTGGAACTGAGCTGGGGTCATCCCAACCCCAGGCATGTGTCTTCTCTCAGGTGCCTCCCCTACGTCAGGCTTCAGAACCCTTGTCCCAACTAGATTAGGGTTTTCTGATTCTTCCCTGAGAAGTCAAGGGCAGTGATCCCAGGGGAGTTCTTCACAGGTCAGAGGCACTGCCCCCTGTCCCTTTCTGGTCTCCCCTACCCAGGGTCCTGACCTGTAAGTGTTTTTCTCTCACTCCTCCCTCTCCTGACATCTCCCTTCCCTTCCTTCTGGAATCTGAAATACAGTCCTCTAGGTTCTGTGATAATAGGGTATTACCCTTCCTTCACTCCAGAGTGCCCGCATACCTACACCACGCACACCTCTGCCCTTCTCTGGGGTTTGGAGAAATTGATACTTGTCCTGGAGATGTGGAGGTCTAAACGCTGCAAGTCCAAGGTGGCAGCCTGCAGGCCTGAACTTCTCTGGAGCCCCAGAATGTAACCTCGAGGGGCCATCACTGTGACTCTGTCCCACTCCCCTCTCTCCAGCCAGAGGGTAGGGTCTGAAGTCTTTTTTATACCATCCAGGGCCTTGAAATATGATCTGATGAACTCTACTTGACCCTCGGGTGGCTGGGGGCCCCCCACCCTTAAATAGTCAATTAAATTAAGTGGATTCTTTTTCCAAGTTCTCTAAAACACTAGCCTCTGGGGGTGGGGGGAGGGAGGGCTTGAGACTGCAACACCACTTGCTCCACCCTAGGGAGTTTTCTGTCTTTTCCATCTCTTGCTGTCACTGTGGAGCACCTTCCATGCAATTGAAATGCACACACACCCCCGCCCCTTGTAGGCGCTTTCCTAACCTTTCATATTAAGAGCTGGAGATTTTGTCTTTTGGGGTGCAAAGCAGGCTGGTCCAAGGGGAAAATGTGGGGGGCGCATATTGATAAACTTGGAAATCGGAGACTCTTAACTCAAGGTCCCTGAGACAGGTGAAGACAGGTGAGGAGTTGGGGACCGCCTGTTAACTCCTGGAGATACCATGTAGCATTTTGTACCCATCTTCCATTTCCTGGAGAGAGGGGTCTTAACTTTCTTCCTGTGCTCATGTTTGAGAGGGGTTACGCTAACCTCAGATTCTCTGTCTAGGCTGATGTCTCTCCATGCAGCTAGTTGTGACTCTGGCAGCCCTTGTGGCCTGGTGCTGTTTATAAACAAATCTGAGGAAGTCATCTGCCAAGTGCTTGGGGCTTCTTCCTGAGTGCTTATACCCTTCTTGCAAGCCCCCTCATCCCCAAATGTCAAGGGCAGGTTCCTCGGTGGTGGCAGCTGCTGAGAAATCCTAGTGGCAGCTTGAGGGGTGTGTTCCAGAGTGGTGATGCCACAACTCCAGATGTCCAATCTGATGAAAGGGGCTAGGCCTTGTGGTGGTGGTGGGCACGGGGTTGGGGGGGCTTCCAGGGGCAGGATGGCGTCAGGAGATGTGGTGTGGTCGGACTCGGAAAGGCCTAGCCCACCTGCCTGTGGCTCCATGGCAGGCCGTCAGCTTCCACATGACAGCGCCTCTCCCCTCGCAGGCCTTGGGCCTCTTCCAGAAGAAACATCTTTGCAAGCCTTTTTTCTCTGCTCAAGGTAGGACGTCAGGCCGAGGAAGGTGAAGCCTCTATGTTTCAAAGCATTCCAGACACTCTGAGGGCTAGCAGGCTGCTTAGGTCCCTAGGTGGGATTGTGCTAGGGATTGAGGGTCCTCCTAGGCCTCCACACAGCTGGGTGTGAGTGGACGGTCCAAATGCCAGCCCTGTCATTGCCACACAGAGAGGCCTTGGGCCAGCCACTTCCCAGTGAGAACCTCAGTTTTCTCACCTGCATAATGTTCACAGGTCCCTGTGAAATAAGTGACTGAGAAAGGCCCTCGTGGTACTTGGCACATGGTAGACATTCCACGACTATAGTGCAGGAATAGGAGGAAGACCCTACAGCAGGAAGATGCTCCCCCTGAGGTTTTGCAAGCAGGACTAGACAGCCACATCTGCCATAAGCAGGAGCCTGGTATTGTACCGCTGGAAGGAATCTTAGAGATGGCAGATGGGAGCCCAAAGTGCAGAAAGGCCTGACAGCAGGCCCCGGGTCGCCTGGGACCTAGTGTGGAATCTGGATTTGTACCCAGGGCTCCTGAGTCAGACTCCACATCTCACCCTTAAATAGCCAGAATGTGGGAAACACCAGAGCCTCCTGGCATCGAGGCTGCTGCCTAAACCTCAGCAGGGTTCCCACCCACCTCTGACAGTCAGAATTTCTCAAATTGAGTATGACAGATTTATTGGTTTCTTTGGGTGCTGTCCTGCCGCATGCTCGCCAGCTTTCCATATCCACTCTTGTCACTCCTACTGTTTTTTCCCTTGCCCCCTGGAAGTGTCTTTTTCCCACTACATTTCATTCATCACAGGCCAGCTTCAGGGCTCAGCGTGGGTGGTCTGAAACCCTGTTGGCCTATCCCTTGGGGACACTTTGCTTATGAAGCATATTGGGGAACCTTCATTGGTGTCCCAGATTCTCACAGAGGAATGCCACCTCCAGGCAGCCCTGAAGAGAACATGGGGATCAGCTGAGCTCTCGTGTTCGGTTTGATTTAGCTGGGACCCTGCCAGACCTCGTTCATCACTTTGCCACAGCTCAGTTAAAAGCTGCTCCAGCTGCTGGATTCCCAGAGCCGCCTTCTCAGACCCATGGTTTTTGGGGGGGTTTGTTTGCTTTCATTGATTATTTAGAGAGAGAGAAACATCGATTTATTGTTCCACTTATGCGTTCATTGGTTGCTTCTCATATGTGCTCTCACCAGAGATCTCACCCACAGCCTTGGCATATGGGGACAACACTCTAACCAACTGAGCTACCTGGCCAGGGCTGACCAATGGTTCTTACTCAGCCCTGATCCTGCCCCCAGGGAATACTGCAAGATATCTGGGGGATGTTTATGATCATCATGACTGGGTTTTGGGGGTGCTCCTGGCATCAAGTGGGTGGGGGCCAGGGATGCTGCTTAACACCCCACAATGCCCAGGACACCCCCACAGGAACATTCCAGCTTCTGTGTCCACATTGCTCAGGCAGAGAAAGCATGCCAGAATGATCAGCTAAGGTGCTCAGCTGTGGGTCATTGCAGGGGCAGTATAGAAGAGGAACAGCCCCTGGCATCAGAGTCGGGCCCGAGTTTGAATGTTGGCAGTAACGTGAAGCTCTTACCAACCTGGCAGGGGTGTTTTAAGGGTCAAAGTATATAATGACATGTCCAGCTTAGTCCCTCCCCCAAGTGATTGGTATTGAGCTGTGACTCTCATCCTCTAGACCAAAGAGAAAACGTGTCTGGTGGACATTGGTTGTATGTTTATTCCACTTTATGTGAGTTAACTCATCAGGTCCTTCCCATATCCTGATGAAGTGGATCCTGTCATCCCCCCCAGAGAAGAGACTGAGGGTCAGAAAGGCCTTGTGTTCTCTGTTCGGGACACTGTTGAGCTGTTTACGGGTAAAGCAAAATTCCCAGTTCCTGCCCTGAGGATGCTTTTAGGCCTGAAGATGTGAAAAGAGAACCTAAAATAGAAGGTGGTGGGCCAGTCAGGAACTTTGCTGTGTTGGCGGTGCTGAAGGAGGTTGGAGGAGGAGGAGGAGGGCAGCAGGGCTGAGCTGGGAGGAGGCATCATGTGAAAGGTGACCTGGTAGTGGAGGCAGGTCTGAGCCCAGGCCAATGAGGCTGATGGCAAAGCTGCCTCCTCCTCAGTTCCCACCCCTACCAGCCAAAAAGAAGGGGGCAGAGGAAGGGTGGGATCTTGTCAGGGTCTCAGACTGTAATCCCCCACTCTGGGCCTGGGCAGCTTCAGGGAAGCTCGGTGGTGGCCCCTGACTCTGGTGGCCTTTGCCTCTGAGTATGTGTATCTGTGGTTGCTCTTCACAGAACATGGTGATGAGCTTCCGAGTCTCCGACCTTCAGATGCTCCTGGGCTTCGTCGGCAGGAGTAAGAGTGGACTTAAACACGAACTTGTCACCCGGGCCCTTCAGCTGGTCCAGTTTGACTGTAGCCCCGAGCTCTTCAAGAAGATCAAGGAGCTCTATGAGACACGCTATGCCAAGAAGAGCTCAGAGCCCGTCTCCCAGCCCCACCGGCCCCTGGACCCCCTGACCATGCACTCGACCTATGACCGGGCCAGCACAGTGCCCAGGACTCCCCTCACAGGCCCCAACATTGACTACCCTGTGCTCTATGGGAAGTACTTAAATGGACTCGGACGGTTGCCTGCCAAGACCCTCAAGCCAGAAGTGCGCCTGGTAAAGCTGCCCTTCTTTAACATGCTAGATGAATTGCTGAAGCCCACCGAACTGGGTGAGTCTATCACCTCCCTTGGGGGTCCTGCCTTCCAAGTTCTCCTGTTGCCTGTGGCCAGCCACGTGACCAACCTGGAGTATTTTCTAAGAAGCAGCAAGGGCCAAAGGGCAGCAGAAGTCTTGTCCCTCCTAGGAACCACAGGTGCCACCTTTGGGTCTTTAGATGAGTGATCTAGTGCCATGTGCAAATTTCCCAGATACCAACAGCTTAAAACAACCGAGGGTCCCAGTTTCTAAGGGTCAGAACTCTGGAACGGCCTAGCTGGGTGTTTCTGACTCCTGGCCCCTCATAAGGTGTTAGCCAGGGCTGGGGGTGGGTGTCAGCCTCAGGTGCTGTCTGAGCTCAGGCTGGAAAAGGCTGGCCAGCCACAGCTTCCTAAGCCTCCAGGGCTCCAAGTGGAATGCCCTCAGCCTCTGGTTAACACTCAGATTGTCTCTGAGTGTTCCTTGAGACCCCTCCCATTCATTCACTCATTCATTCACTTGCTCACTCACACAGTATATATTTGGGCTCCCGCCTCCAAAAACATAATGCAGAGCAGACAAAGCCTCCCTGCCCTGTAGAGGTTCTCTTGTCAGGGTGCCCCAGCCTGTGCCACCACTGTAGGTGCTGTCACCCCCTGTACCTGATCCTGTTCTACCCGTACATCTTTACTCGGCCCCTGCTGCATGCCAGTAGCAGGTGAGCAGGCGCTGGTCGTGAGTTGGTCCCTGGGTGCTGTGGCAGAGGTTGTGATCCCTTCAAACCTCTGCCCCTCATGCCCCTGGCTGCTTGGTTCACTCCCCTCTATCCTGCTGACCTAGCATCCTCCCTTGCTCAGCCAGGGGGCACCTCTTTGCATGCAAACTTCAGCTTCAGCCCTGTGCTAGCCAGCCTCCTCTGTCCTGGCTTAGGTGTGGGGAAAGGGGAAGAGGGTGAAGCTGCCTCCCTCCTACTTACAGGCCTTGGGCTTTTTGAAGTTGGGCCAGAGGGTCTGTGGTTCTAAGTGAGGCTGCAGGAGGTGGGGGAAGGGAGTTGCTGGGGGTCCCAGCCCTAGAGTCTGAGGCCTTCCACCGCTTTCTCGTTGACATGAGGTGTTTCTTGCTAGGCTCCCAGATGGGGATCAGGTTGGCCCAGCAGCACCTATCACAATAGGTGCAACCTATCATGATAGGTTGATGCAGTAGTGCTGGAGACCTAAGGCCCCTTCCCGAGTTCCCCCAGAACAACTTCCCCTGTTTCTGCTCTTCAACTGCTTTCTAGATGCTGGAGCCTACCCCCCACCACACTAATGGGTTTTCTGGAAGGTTTTGGGGTCCTGAAAACTGGCTGGCTAGCTGATCCTGAAGGTTGAGCTGACATTTCAGACTCTAGAATGATCTTCATAATGGGGAGGCTGGGTTTTCACTGGGCAGCTGCAGGGCAGGCTTGGTGCTGGGTGGGGGATGGGACTGGAGGTGACTTTGAACTCAGGCTGGCTGGCAGCCTCTCATCCCCTGCCTGGACCATGAGCTTCCTTCCTGTACTGCAAGCCTGCAGTCACTCCCACCCCACAATGCACTGCTTTGCCCTGAGCCCCCTGGGACCTCGGTCACCTGATCTCCAGGAGAGTCTGCTCCCCTGTCTACATCAGAAATTACTCTGCTGGTGGCTCAGAACAAAGAGGCTGACCCCGCCCTGCTTCTGCTTCTACCCACTCACCTGCCCCTGTCCCAGGGTGTACCTGTTCCTTGGGAGTACCATTTTCTCAGGGACCCTTAGGGGCTGCTCAGGGTCCTAGGGAGAGGCCTCATGGAGCACAGGCCCTGGCCCTGAAGCACTCTGGTCCACTTGGTCCCCAGGCCAGCAGTAGGCCACTCCTTATACCCTGGGTGCCTCCCCTTGTGAATTCTGCCGCACGGGCCTTGCCCAAAAACCACTTTAGGGGCTGTGGCTCCTCCAGCTTCCTTTTATCCCTGGCCACGACCTGCCAACCACAACAAGGCCCACATATTCTGGTCTGTTCCCCCAGAAGAGCTGCCGGATGGCTCCTAAATGGAGCCTGTGTCAGGAGGACAGTAGATACAAATCCCAGGGAGTGCAGTGTTCAGGATGTGTGGTAGGAGGGTAAGAATAGAGCCACAGACCCGGAGCTGGGAGGATCTGAAGAGACAGATGATCCACTCCAGTGGAGGCAGGGACTGGTGTGAGAAAGGTCAGGAGACTGGTCCAAGGTCATAACAGCATTGCTAGGAAGGGGCTCTGGGGCTGTGTACTCAACCATCTTCCTACGTCTCACCCTTCTCTGCACCATCAGTGCCTGCATTTCTGCAAGGAGGCACCTGTTCTGAACCACACAAAGGTTCAGGACCTCAGGCCTCCTGTCTGCATGAGGAGCCCATTTGTCTTCCCTTTCCCAGCTGGACAGACCAGTGGCCAGGCTCCCAGGGCAGGGTCGCTTGTTCTCAGACTGCAGCAGAGTTCATAAAGACCAGGAACATGGTTCCAAGTCATGCTGTTTCAGCTTGGGATTCATTAGGCATCTTCTGGCCTGATGGTCTCCCCAGCCCAGCTATTTAGGGTGTCTGACCAGAGTCTGACTGGGAAGGCCCAGACCTCCCCATGAGGGTTGGGGGCTGCAGGGAGGCCATCATAAGACTTTTGGGCAGAAGGGAGGCTCCCCAGCATCCTGAGGTCTCATTGTGTGGGCCACTCAGCTTGCCCCCACTGCTACCTGGTGTCCTGACAACTGCAGGTGCCCCCTAGAGGTGATCAGCACCCAGGTGGCTGAGAGCTGCTGGTCTGGTACCCACCCCATTGTTTAGGGCAGTGGTCTCCAACCTTTTTGGCACCAGGGACCAGGTTCATGGAAGACAATTTTTCCATGGTCCAGCGTGGCGGGGGTGGTTTCAGGATGATTCAAGCACATTACATTGAAGCTCACCTCCTGCTGGGTGTCCTAGTCCCTAACAGACTGAGACTAGTACCAGTTCGTGGCCCAGAGGTCAGGGACCTCTGGTTTAGGGCACACAGATGTCCTTCATCCAGCCTGAGCCCTTTGGCCAGCATTGCCTAAACAACAAAAGAGTAATGAGATCTCTGGCCTGGCACATTTTGCAAGGAAGCTGCATTAGGGTTGATTAAATGGTGCTGGGTGAGGAATGCTCTGATTGGGGAATACAGGGTCTTTAGGGGTCTCCTGGTCAGTACCAGGAGTCCTTTACCATGCATTTGTGGGGAGGTTGCTGTCAGGAAGGCTTCCTGGAGGAGGTGGCATTTCTGTCCATACCTGAGGGGTGAGTAGCAATAAACTGGACAAAGGAGGGAGCGGGGGAGTATGTTCCAGCCAGAGGCCCAGTGGTGAGAGAAGGCTCATGAATGGAGGCCATTGTGACTAGAGAATAATGTGGCAGAGGAGGAGGGAGGGAAAACAGAGGCCAAAAAACATGAGGAGGGTGGGCCGGGGGAAGTGTGGGGACCATCCTGAGGGCTTTGGAGTTGCTGAAGGTCCCACAAGGTTTTTCTGAGTCTTATTTTCTCTAGTCCTTTCTAAGGCAGGTATGATCCCTGAAGGTGCAAGGCCCGCCTGCCATCCCACAGCCAGGTGTGGGTGTGGGACATACTCAGGCCCATCCCATTACGTAGGAGCTGAGACAGTCACAGGGCATGTCCCCGGTTCCAGGCTTCCTGCACATAGGCCTCCTGCCAGTGACACGGAAGACCAGTCCTATCAATTGACTTCTTCAGACCTCTTTTTCTTTCTTTCTTCGTTTTAAAACATTTTTATTTATTGATTGTTTAGAGGCAGAGAGGAAGGGAAAGACAGAGAAACATTTATTTGTTGCTCCATTTATTTATGCACTCATGGGTTGATTCTTGTATGTGCCCTGACCAGGAACTGAATCTTGAACTTGGTGTATTGAGATGGTGCTCTAACCAGCTGAGCTATACAGCAGGGCAAACTTTTCTTTTTATTCAAACTTTTGTAAAATTATATGTTCACCGTAGAAAACATGGGGTAACAGCAGAGACACCCACTGTGGCTGTGCCCACTGGAGCATCCCTGCTGGTGGTCTTGGCTTGCCACCCCCTTTTCTCTACAGCGCGATCCTGTGAAGACGTGACTGCATCCTGCTCTTGTCTTACTGCACTCCTCACCCCAGTACATTGTGGGCCTCTGCTCGAGTCCTAAAGGATTTTTTGCTGATGCAGCTTGCAAGGCTGCCTGGCAGCCCGGGGTGGGGGTGGATGTGCATGGACTTGGTTGGTCCATGTCTCGGGTCCAGCCCAGGGGCTGGTTCCCAGAGTACTTGGAGCAGGGGATTCCCTCCCTTTGGTCGGGGTTGTGGGGAGGGGGCAGGCAGTGCAGAGGCTTGTGGGCCTGGGAGAGGATGTGCATCCACAGCTACCCAGCTTGCCGCAGTGTAGGTGAGCATTTCTAGGTTCAGTTGGTGTCCATAATGTACCAAAGATAACTGGACATTGTGTTGATTCTTATGAGGTAAAGGTTTTGGAGAAAAATGGAGCAGGGAAGGAAGTGGGAAGCACCAGAATTTCAAGGGTTGGGTGTGGGGTGGCATTTGTGCAAACACCAAGAAGGTGGAAATCATTAAGGAAGGGATGATCTGGAAGAGGGGATGGTGCGTGCAGAGACCCCAGGTTGGGATGTACTTGGCAGGTGGGGACAATAAGGAGGAGGTCATGGTAGCTGCTGTGGAATCAAGGCCTCAGAGGTGGGCAGAACACTCTCCTGAGGCCCTGTGCAGCAGATGGTGAGCCCTGGAGCCTGGAGACAGTGAGGGGTATTCATGCTGACCACAGTGGGCAGCCCTGGCTGGTGGCTCAGCCTGTTGGAATGTTCCATGCTCCAGAAGGCTGCGGATTCGATTCCTGGTCAGGGCACATACCCAGGTTTTGGGTCCAGTCCCTGGTGGGAGTGCGTATGGGAGGCAACCAGTTGATGTCTCTCTCTCTTTCCCCCTCCACCTTTCTCTGTCTCTTAAGAGCAATAAGCATGTCCTTGGGTGAGGAGGGTTAAAAAAAGGAGACTGGGCAGTGGAGGTGGGAGAGGGAGAGCACTAGGTGCCGACAGGACCGGCTGAGCAGTTGGTGGGTGTGGGGACGTGACAGGAGTCGTGGAACATCTCAGCCCTGAGCGGCGGAAAGTGAAGCTGGTGAAGACCCAGGTTTGGGGGGCCCTCAGCCCCCTCCCAATGGTGTGGGATGTACCTTACCCCAGATGAGGTGGCAGCTCCTGGCTTCCTGGGGAAGCAGTCAGCCACCCCCAGGCTAATGACACAGCTGACAATCAGCGTGCAGAGTCCTCACAGCTGCCTCACCTAGAAACAAGGCCTTCCAGGAAAGGGACCCTGGGTTCTGGTCTTTCCACCACCAGCTTGCTTGCCTTACTTGCAGAGCTCCCTGGCCAGTGGGTGGCTCCCAGGAAGTTTGCTGGGGTCCTTTTCTCTTCCTTCCTGGGGGACACTGTAAGGTGGTGTCTGGTATCACTGCCTTTTCTACCTAGCCTTGGCAGTCTAGCTCAGATATTGTGAGCCATCCCCCATAAATAACTGCCCCTGGGCACTTTGGACAGGTCTGAGGTGTCTGCAGGTGGCCTGCCAGCATCCCCATACCCAATTAGAGGGCCCTCCTCAGGGCCCCAACAAGAGCCCACAACAGATGAGCACAAATGGCTGCAGTGTGGCAGCTGCAGCAGCCGCCTCTTACTGAGTACCAGCCACAGACTTGGCTGTGCACCTTGAGAAGTGGGCCTGGTGCATGGAGAGCACCCCGGCTTGGGCTGGGATGGGGGGGGGGTGCATGGACCCTCGCAGGTGAGGTGCAAACCCAGGTGGTCTGGCTTCTAAACTGGAACTTGTTTTAAATTTGAATCACATTTGCTTAAATGGTTTGTCTGGTGTGGTTTAGAATTCAGAAGGTTCTGAGGCAGGAGTTGGCCACCTAGGGTGGGAGCCAACCCCACCAACTGCCTTTTTTCTGAAACCTAGTTGTATTGGTGCCCAGCCCATGTTTGTTTGTACATTTCCGGCCTCTGGCAGCTTCCGTGGTACGAAGCAGAGTGGAGACATCGAGGCAGATTAACTTGTGGCTCAAAAGAGCCAAAAATATTTATACTCCAGCTCTTTATAGAACTGTCTGCCCACTCCTGTTCTAAAGGATTTGCTGTATAAATTTTAAAAACTCCTTCTTACCTTTCCCAACCATTCTGAGGCTGCAATTGTGGCCAGTTCTCACACCCCCTCCTTCAGAGATGTCTCTTGCACAGATAAGCCAGTGTGCACTTGCACAGACCCCCCCCACCTCTGTTTGGTTGCACAAGTAGCAGCGTGATAAACACATGGTTCTACACCTGCTGTTTTCACATTACCAAAACACCTTTGAGGTTACTCCTTATCACAATACAGAGTGATAATCCTTTGTTGTATGTTTTTACAGTTGCATAGTATTCCTTTATACGAGACCCCCACCACCACCACCACCACCACCAAGCATATCCTAACCAGACCACGTTGGCAGGCATTTAGGTGGTTAACAGCCTTCTGCTGATAGAACCATTCTGAGTAATGTATGACTGTGAGCATTCGTTACCTGGTGGATTTGAGCGTGTCCACACTGATAGGCACATGCTCACTGGATGTGCCAGAACAGCCGTTCGAGGTGGAGGCAGAGTTGTTTCTTGCCGGTGTCTTACAGACCTTAAGAGAACAGGCTAGTCCAAGGCCATGTGTCCTGTGTGGTACCCTCCTGGCCCAGCACAGCTCTTCTGCCCTAGTAGAGCACTTCTCAGGTTTCCTTAATAGACCCCTGGGCCCCACAGGAATGAGAAGGCCACTTCTCTGAGAGTGGCCCTTAGTGGAGGACACGGAGGGGTGAGTGGTAAGTGTTCCCTGAACCATAGGCTGCCAAAACAGGGACAGGTCCCCTCTCATCCTCACCCCTAGTGGCTCTGCCTGGTTGGGACTCAGCCTCCCATTTCCTGCTTCTCAGCCTGAAGAGGGCTTGGCAGTAGAAAGGACAATGTCTGTGGTGGCGCCCTCAGCAGGGACCAGACATGCCCCTGACCCTGTGTTTGTCTTCAGTTCCACAGAACAATGAGAAGCTTCAAGAGAGCCCGTGCATCTTCGCATTGACGCCCAGACAGGTGGAGCTGATCAGGAACTCCAGGTGCTCTGGGCCCCACCCTCTGCTGACCTCCAGGGCTAGATAGTGGGTGGGTGTGGTCTCAGGTGGTCTCAGGTGGCCTACGAGAGCATTTAGCCAGACCCTGGGTTCCCACCCCTGCCCCACTCTGGGTCCCTGTGCACAGTCAGCACACTCACCACTTTTGACTTGCAGTCCCAAGAGGTGGGCCAGTGTCCCTTTTAATAAGGTCGGACCCCTTCAGCACTGCTGACATCAGGACCAGGTCAGTCTCTGACGGGGACCGTCCTGAGCATTGCAGGGTGCTAAGCAATATCCCTGGCCCCCACTTCTTTGGTGTCAGGAGCACCCCCAGTCATGATGACCACAGATGTCCTCAGATATGGCCAGTGTCCCCTGGGGCAGTCACACAGGTAAGGACACTGGGCTGTCCCCAGGTCTCCAATTCCTCTCTCTGAGGCTCTCCATCTCCAGCTGAGACAGCACTCACCGTCGGAGCAGCTGCTCATCAGGGCACTCGGCTCATGCCAGGCCCATATTCATCAATCTGCTTAATATCTACACCATACCCCACCTTGTCCAGAGAGAGGAAGTCAATGCCCCAAGTTACCAGTGAGTAAATGGCAGGAGAGAACAATCTAGGTGGCACCTATTGGCCTTCAGTTGTCAAGGGAGATAGCAGATTATGTTGCCTAGGTAGCAGGTTAGGCTGCCTGGCTAGGCCAAGAGAGGCCAGAGGTCACCTGGCTAAAAGGTTGGCGTGGTGTGCTAGACTCACTCCCACCTCACTGACCCCTCCTTTCCTCTCCTTCCCCATGGTTTCCTTGGGGCACAGAGAACTGCAGCCTGGGGTCAAGGCCGTGCAGGTCGTCCTAAGGTAAGCGCAGCTGTGCCAGCCTCCAAGGGAACCCTTGGCCACTTCCTCCCCCGCTCGATGGCTATAGCCCTGCCATGTCCCACCCCAAGTGCGTCTCAGCCAGGCCCCCCTCCCTCATGACAGTCCTTCTGAGACTGCTGGCTAGCAGTGGAGTCTCTTTTTCCCTTCTTGCTGGCTGTGCAAGGCTGTGGACATACCACCATTTTTTCCCACTCAGGCCAGACACAGGGCCCTGAGACCCCCACATGTACAGCCCAGCATTGTGATCTACCCCCTCAGGCCAGATACGGCTCCAGTCTGTCATCCCCACCTCTCCCAGGGGCCCTTTCCCTGTCCTCGGCCCCCATGGTCCCCATTGTCATTGCAGAATCTGTTACTCAGACACCAGCAGCCCTCAGGAGGACCAGTACCCACCCAACATTGCTGTGAAGGTCAACCACAGCTACTGCTCAGTCCCGGTGAGCAGGTTCCCCAGGCAGTTCCAGATCTGCTGTGGGGGGTGGCGAGCATGGAGGGAGGGGCAGGGACACAGACCATCTGTGGTGGCTGAGCCTCCATCTGCTCCCAGGGCTACTACCCCTCGAATAAGCCTGGAGTGGAACCCAAAAGGCCCTGCCGCCCCATCAACCTCACCCACCTCATGTACCTGTCCTCAGCCACCAACCGAATCACCGTCACCTGGGGGAACTACGGCAAGGTGAGTGGGGCAGGGGCTGCCCACTTGCTCACCCCCTCAGCCCTGGCACCCCTACCCAGCCTCTGCTCATTCTGCCTGTCCCCACGCAACCCTCACGCCTCTCCCACTCTACTCTCAGAGTTACTCGGTGGCCTTATATTTGGTGCGGCAACTGACCTCCTCAGAGCTGCTGCAGAGGTTGAAAACCATCGGGGTCAAGCATCCGGAGCTGTGCAAGGCGCTGGGTGAGAACGGGGGCATCTTCCCCTTGGTGACTGAGGGTGGTCTGGGCTCTTTCACTGCCGGCTCTCCCTTTGCTGGCTGGACTTGAGAAGTTTGTTGTTTGTAGGGGGAGGGGGGTGCCGATGGGGAAACCTGGACCTTCCAGTGTCCATCCGTTGCTCTGGGGGTCAGGGAGCTCTGGAGGTCTTTGGAAGATGCCGGGCTGTCAGTGCAGAGGCCAGAGGTGAGGATGGGCGAGATGTGCTCATGGACCTGAGTGAGCCAGGGGTCTGGGTGGGCTGAGCAGGTGGTGCTTGTTTGGAGCCTCATGGGGGCTTTGTGGAGAGGAAGACCCTAGGTGATGGGTGTTCCAGGCAGAGGCTTCTGGCTACTGTGCAGGGAATGGGGTGTGCGGGGCAGGAGCATGGAGAGGGGGAGCAAAGGGTGGATTCATGGTAGGAGGTGCATGGGGGTGACAGGTCTGACCAGGAATGATGAGACCATTTGTTTTTCCTTTTTTGCACTTTCAACATCAAAAAATGTCGACCTGGCTAGTGTGGCTCAGTGGCTTGAGTGCCAGCCTGCAAATCAAAAGGTCACTGGTTTGATTCCGGGTCAAGGCACACGCCTGGGTTGAGACGCCAGCTCCCCGGTTGGGGGCGTGTGTGAGAGGTGACCGACGATTTATCTCACATGTTTCTCTTTTTCTCGCTCCCATCCTCTCTAAATGTAAATAAATAAAATCTTTTCTTTTTAATGTTTTTGGGGGCAGACATATAGCATTAAATAAAACCACCATCAAAACCGGCAAACACAACCCAGAATTAGCTCTGTCTCTTCCCGTGTCCCTGTACCCAGGGCTGCCCAGCCCATGGCTTGTGCTCAGGATTTCCTCCACTCAGAAGCTTTGTGGTGTCAGGCAAGTCACCGGCTCTCTGGTTACTGGGATGACCTCTGACGCCATCTGACTAGTGGGGACACTGAGGAACAGAGTCAGGGCTCTGTGACTCCAAGGCCTCAGTCTGTGCACCCTGCTCCGGCGCCTTTCTCTTCCCTCAAAGGGCCCGCCCTTCAACCCCCAGACCCACTTGCTGTCTCCATGTGGAGACAATGGCCAACTTGACCAGAGCGCTTGTGGGCCAGGGGCAGGGCTGGGTGTGGGGACTGGGCAGGGCTCATCTTGCTCCAGCAACCCACAGGGTGGGGGCGAGGCCCTTAGAGGCCTGGCTTGGCTCCTCCTTGAGGAGTCTGGAGCCTTGCAGCACTGTGGGCCGAAGGGGCGGATGCGGTCAGGTTTTCTCTCTGAAGGGAAGCCCCTGGCTTCCCTTCCATGGCCAGCCCCAAGCTGGGCACCATCACAGTGGGTCTTCTGGTCGCAATTGGCAAGTCCTGGGTTTTTTTTGTTGTGGTGGTGGTTTTTTTAATCTCATTTGACCTCTTCTTGATGCACATACCTTCTCTCTGTCGGGAGCAGCCAAGCCTTACTTCAAAACCCAGTGCACACTGCATCTATTTTAGTTGCCCAGGATCTTTTTGATGAGCTGAGGCCTCTGAGTCCACCATTAGTACTTGTTAACCAGAGAGGGGAATGTTGTGGGGGAAGTCAAACAGATGTGATTGGCTACAGGCTCACCCTTAGCCCCAGCCCCCTGTGGCAGGGGAGAGGAGGCCTCCTAGAGGAAGGGGCGAAGGAGTCATTGTGTGTGGGGAAGTTCTGGGTTCAAGCAGGGCAGCTTCCGCTCTGCGGGACTCAGGGTCTATTTGCCCAGAGCCATCTGGGGACAGAATCTAACTGCAGGTACCCCTGAGGTTTGTGCACCTGTCTCCCTGCCTTTGAAAGCAAAACATGCAGGAAAAGGAAAGGAGAGAGACTGAGCACCCCCTGCAGGCTGGTCCCAGGCCTGCGCGGGGTGCATTTCCTTCCAGTCTTTTTTCCAGCATCACATTCACCGTTATGAAGGGGGTTTTGGGTGCTGTCGTGAGCATGTTTCCATGTTGTGTGTGGCTTTGTGGTAGCATCTCAGTCATTTCCTTTATAAGAGAAGTAACATTTGATTGTGCAGGGGAAGCTGTCTGTTGCTCTTCCACTTGCAGGGCTCATGGTGGGCGCTCTTGGCCCGGGTTGTTGGTGCTCCTTAGTGGGCACTGTCTCAGTACAGGGGCCCTGCCTCCCCACCTAGGCCTTAGGGGTGTTTTTCATTGGAATTAACAGAGGCACAGCGGGCAGCCCTGTTGGTGGCTGTGTGTTGCCTGGATCTTTCCAGAAAAGATCTTTCCTGTGGGTTGTAAAAAGCCCCAGCAGGGTTGGCTTATTGGGGAGTTGGTGTCTCAGGGATATGCCCAGGTTGTTGTATCAGGAATAACTGTGGCTTTTGCCCAGGTTGCCTCCCCACTTTGCCCCACAGGTGCCTCTACCTCTTCCCTTACTAACACTGGCTGTCCCTCCTTCACAGTCAAAGAGAAGCTTCGCCTGGACCCTGACAGCGAGATTGCCACCACTGGTGTGCGGGTCTCCCTCATCTGCCCTGTGAGTCAGTGTGTTGGTCCCCCTTCCCTTGCTGTGCATTATGTGGGGGCTGCCTGGGGTGGGCGGTACCTAGCTAGGTGGCCCGCTCACACCCCCTTCCCCTTGCCCCAGCTGGTGAAGATGCGGCTGTCTGTGCCCTGCCGGGCGGAGACCTGCGCCCACCTGCAGTGCTTCGACGCCGTCTTCTACCTCCAAATGAATGAGAAGAAGCCTACCTGGATGTGCCCTGTGTGTGACAAGCCGGCCCCCTACGACCAGCTCATCATAGATGGGTGAGTTGGTGAGGCACAGGAGAACCACACTGCCTGCTGGGCTGCACTGGGTTCTGCCCCTTGCAGCTCTGGGCCTCTGGATAACGAGCAGCGGAGCCATGCAATTTAGAGGCCTCTGTGCCTTTTGGCAACTTCCAAAGTCCCAGGTTACAAAGAAAGGTAGGACTTTCAGGGCTTTTGCTGTGTGGGTAGCAGCAGTGTAGCTTAGGGTTCAGACATGGGGCTCTGGATCCAGAAGGTCCACTCTTCCCTTCTTGGAGGCTGTTTTCCCCACATAACACAGGGGTTTGAGAACCCTCACCTCCAGGCTGATGCACGATTCAGGGGGTTGCTTCTTGAACTTTGTTCAGTGCAACCTTGGTCATGTCCTCTGTAGAAAGGTGAAAAGGACACGTGTCTTCCCCCAAATCTGGTTACATCCCACTTGTTCCCTTTCTAGGTGTCACTGGTGTGTGGCCAGGCTGTCCCCCAGCCTAACAAGCAAGCACTCCCCATGCCACAAGGGGACAAGGGGCAAAAGGCCATTCTCCCCAAAAGGGAAACTTCGCTTAGGTCTTAAGTTTCCAGAAACCGAGCCCAGCACCTGACTGAGCAGCTCCTGCCAGGCCCTGGCCACACCCATCCGTCCCCAGAGTCCGGCGGGGGTAGGGAGAGGCGGCAGCCTAGATAGGAGCTGGTGTGCTGGCACCCACCTTTGGACCCACCAGTCCTTGAAGGTTGAGACACGCAGCTTGGGGGGTGGGGCATACAGTAGGGATGGGAATGATACCCCTCAGCCTACAAGGGCTGGGCACAAATTTGTCCCCACATTTAAGCACTCTTCTCTGGTCACCATGCTCAGGGTCTTGCCAGCCCTCCCAACTGTCCCAGGAGATGGGCCTTGATCATCCCCACCTTACAGGTAGAGAAACTGAGGCTCAGTGAGGGGGCGCAGCTGCTGCCTGGGAATCTATAGGTAGCCAGGCAAGGACTCCAACCCAGGTCCCGCCAACTCTAAGCCTGGGTCCCATCCCCAGAGGGCCAAGCCACAGCCTCCTATGTTCCATCCTCAGTGGAATGAGGAGGCCCTTGGGGCTCGGCATGAGGACTGGGCCTGAATAGCAGCTCTGTTTTCAGCCTGGCAGCTGTGCCGCCCAGCACTTGCCTTCCCTCCCCCAACAGGCCTAGAGTGGGTCACTTAGGCTCGGGTGGTGGCAGCTCTGGCAGGGCTAGGGACAGCAGCTCTGCCCCAAACAGACCGTGATCCCAGCAAGCCCATGGGGCCTGGTGTAGCTGGAGAGGCTTGCTGGAGGGTTTTGATTCATGTAATCATTCTTTTAGACTGCTCCCTGTCCCTCCCTGGACCTGAACTAGGTGATCTGGTGGCCCCAAAAAGACATCATCTCATCCCTGTCATCGGGGAACTTCTACCTGAGCGTGGGGGATGGGAGGAACTGAACCAGACACCTACATTCTGTTGTTGATGCTCTGCCTGGAGGAGGAAGAGGAGCTGTAGAGTAGGGCTTTGGGGGGTGAGTAGGAGTTTCCAGGTAGGGCAGTGTATTGCAGGTGACCCGGTGACCCTGGGGTGGTGCGTCTGTAAGCATGGCGATGGAGAGGAGGCCTCAGGGTAGGGGTGGCAAGGACCCCATCAGCCCCAGAGGGTGTCCTGGAGCAGGATAGCCTCCCTCCTGTGTAACTGTGACCTAGGTGGTCAAATTCCCTTGGAAGCAGGTGCATCTTTGACACTGAACGAATGCTGGGGGTCATGGCAGCCCATTGCCACTGCAGCCTGTGCATTCCCTGCACCAGGCCTGGCCTGGGCATTGGCTGTTCCTCAGGTCCTCCCAGCTGCTGGTGGTGGTGGGTGCTGTGCCTACCTCATCCTGCCTGGGGGGTGGGGAGGGGAGACTGAGGACCTGTAGCCAGGAAGTGGCAAGGAGCAGGACTGGGACCCAGGACTGTTGCCACCTGGTCTTGTGGCCTCAGGGAGCTCACTTGCCTTTCCCCAGTTCTCAATCTATAAAATTGGCCTGGCTGTCAGTACCTTAGCAGCCAGTACCCGGGGCCATTATCACACCTTGCCAGGCCTGGCTCACCACGGGCATGCTCTGGGAGACGCTGTTGTCTGTGGGAATGAGGAGGCCCCACTTCTGCCCCTGCTCTGCCCTCAGCCTCTCCTGGGGGCTTCAAGCAGCATGTACTGCCTTCCGGACCTCATTTTCCTTATCTGTAAAAATGGGGGCAGCACAGAATCGGGGTGTGAGGGTGGGGATCACTCGGTTAGAGAGCTGAATGGGCAAGACCCTGCTGCTGCCAGCAGCCCCAGCCCCGTGCTCTTAAGGAATTGGAGGGAGTGCTGTACCCGTGCCATGAGTGAGCCCCTGAAAGCCCTCAAGCACTCTGGCAAATCCTCCCGGAGGGCCCATGTAGCTGAGAGGCTGGGTGGCCCCCCTCCCTAGGACCTCAGGGAACTGGGCCCTGCCTGGCGCTTTCCTGAAGCCACTTTGGCAGAGCCGGAAGTGGCTTAGCAAGCATCCCGCCAGAATCCAGGGGAGCAGGGTGTGGCTCCGCCAGCCTAGGAATCAGCCAGCCCCGCTTTGTCTCCCCTTGCACCTGCCCAGGCTTCTCTCCAAGATCTTGAGTGAGTGCGAGGATGCGGACGAGATCGAGTACCTGGTGGACGGCTCCTGGTGCCCGATCCGAGCCGAGAAGGAGCGCAGCTGCAGCCCCCAGTGCCCCATCCTCGTGCTCGGTGAGTCCCCGGCCCAGGCCCCCAGCTGCCCCGTTGTTTGCCACAATCCCTGTTCTGGGGCTTTGGCAATTTCTGAATTTGACTTGTGCCCTGCCATGTGGCATTTTCATCTAAAACACCGTCACCCCAGCCCTTACTGGCGTGGCTCAGTGGATTGAGTGCCGTCCCACAAGCGAAAGGGTCGCTGGTTCTATTCCCAGCCAGGGCACGTGCCCGGGTTTTGAGCCAGGTCCCCAGTTGGGGGTATGCAAGACACAGCTAGTCAATGTTCCTCTTGCACACTGATGTTTCTTTCCCTCTCTTCCTCCCTCCCTTCCCCCTCTCAAAAAATAACTATATGAAGTTTTTTTATAAGTAAATAAATAAATAGAATAACAGCCACCCCAAATGAAGAAAGACAAAGAAAAAAGGAAACCAAAAAGGAAAAGTAAATCACCCTGGCCTGGTAGTTCGGTTGGCTGGATCATTGTCCAGATACACCAAGGCTGCGGGTTTGATCCTGGTTGGGGCACATACAGGAGGCAGCCAATGAATGCCTAGATGGAACAGCAAATCGAGGTTTTCCTTTCTTTCTCCTGTTCCCTCTCTCTTCCTCTAAAATCAGTAAATAAAGTAAAAACAAACCCAGTAGTTTAAAATAAATAAATAAATAAAAATAAAAGGGGGGAAAAAAAACCAGCTGGCCTGGTGGAGTTGACCCCCAGAGTGTAACAGGCCAGGGCTTAGAACTGTGCACTGCAGGCAGCTCGCTGCACACCTGCTGCGTGCCGGCTCCTCTACAGGGCGCTCCCCGAAGTTGGGGTCTCCACATAGGGCAATGGTGGCATCCCATGAGACCCTGCCCCTTGCCACCGAGTTTCCCCATTCCGGGGTCAGCAGTTGTCCTGAGCATCTGTCCCTGTCTCCCTCAGGCACCTCAGATGCCAATGGGCTCCTGTCCAGCCCCAGCGTCAACGGTGGCAGCGGCGGCACGCTCGGGGGCTCCGGAGGTGGAGGCAGCACGGCGGGCAGCGCTGAGAATGGGAAACCAGGAGCTGACGTGGTAGACCTCACGCTGGATAGCTCCTCGTCCTCAGAGGAAGAGGAGGATGAGGAGGAAGATGAGGAGGATGAGGACGAGGATGGCCCCCGGCCCAAGCGCCGCTGCCCTTTCCCCAAGGGCCTGGTGTCGGCCTGCTGACCGCTCACCGCCACCACCTGGCTGGATACTTAACTTTCCTGGTGCTTACCACACAGAGGGGCACAGGCGGGCCTTGGGGTGCAGAGGGAGGAGTGATTTTTTTTCTTTTTATTGTTGTTCATATGGTTTTCCACCCCTTTCCCTGGACCCTGGCACCTGTACCTCTGGACTCTCCTATTGGAGGATTAAAAAGTAAAATCAAAAAAAAATGTAGAAAAAAAAGAAAAATTAAACAACCCCCCCCCACCACCACAAACTCTTACAAACAAGGTAAGGCACCCATACAGCTGCTTCCCCAGCTGGAGTCAGAGCCCATAAAAGGGGTGGGCAGGACACTGCACCCTCTTGGGTGCCCCGCCTTTCCAATGACCATTCCAGCTGGTGCAGAGGGACCTGGGGTTGGTGGGGCAGCAGGGAGGACTGAGGCGGCAGCCACAACTTGGACATTTCATCTCTTTCTTTGCTTTTCTTCTCTCTGCGAACTGTCCTCTCGCCCAGAGACCCTGGAATGGGCCTCTGAGCAGTGAGCTTTTTAGCCAAGAAGCCATGGAGTGGGTTGGGGCGGGGAGAGGGGCAGTGGGGGGCATGGGCTGGTGGGTGGGGTCTCGGGTGGGCTAGGGAGGGTTTAGCCACAGATGTGTTGTATTTTTGAAAGTGCAATAACTTGGTATTTTGAAGACCCAGCATGTGGCCAGGACCCCCTTCAAGGTGGGGGCTTCAGGGTGTGGCACCGTGTGGCGTGGGGGGTCTCAGTTTTTTAGCCAGCTACCTCTGTATCTCCGATTCAGGTTAACTTCCCTACGGAACAGCTCAGATGTCCACAGGTGCCGCCGCCGGGAAGGTGGCCACCTCCAAGGGGCAGCAGGAACTCCTGCCCCGTCCTCTTGATTTTGGGGTGGTTCCTTCCCCTCTTCTTGCTCTTGGGTTTTCCGACGGGTACGAGGCCTGCCCTGCACCCCCACCCCTCCCTGCCCCCGGAGCCTCATACTCGTCTTCCAACAGGACTGGGCTGAGGGCCACCCTTCAGCAGCCTGATTGGCCTCGGGGGTCCAGCAACCACGGGGCTTCCGTAGCCCACCCCAGATGCCTCCAGGGACTCATGGCTGGGTGCTTGCCCTACCACCCAACATCCTTGCCCCCTCGGAGGCCACGCTTCCCCAGACCACCTCTGCCTGCCCTTCTCTTCTGCTTTTTTTCTTCCCTGCCCTTCCCCTCTCTCCCCTCAGCCCTTGAATAATTTTCCTTTGTGTAAACAGAACTCTACTAGTCAGGAAGCAATATCATTTCAGGTCTAAAGACAAAAGGGACATAAATCTGGTTGAGGGCAAATTCAATTTTACTGTATAAACTCAGTTGCGCAGTCCAGCCCCTCTCCATCAGCACTGGCAGCTGAGGGCCGCTGTTTTCTAATATTTGTATTCTAATTTAATTGTTTTTTAAAAACAAAAATAAAATGGTCAAGGTGAAGCCACCAAGGCATCCACTTCTCTGTGCGTCTGAGGTGTCAGCTGGGGATGAGGGGACCAAAGGACCAAAACACCTCCCGTCCGCAGTTCTCTTTCCCTTGTGCTGTGTGTTTAGGGCTCAACAGGCGCCACGTTTAGTCAAATGAGGGAGACAGCACTCCGAACTGCCTGGCCCAGTGTCCATCTGCTGGACCTGGCGACGCATTCAGCGCCTAAAAAAATGCTCAGTATCATGTCACCAGAGAAATGCAAATCACAACCACTAGGAGAGCTAGAATCAAGGACAGTGAATGACCAGTGCTGGCGAGGACAAGGAGGACCTGGGACCACAGGATGGTGCGGCTGCTGTGGTAACAGGCAATTCCAAAATCTCAAAACGTGGAGTTGCCATCCAACCCAGCAGTTCCACCCAGGGAAAATGTGAAAACCTATCTTCTCATGAAAAGTGCAGGAATCTTCCTAGCAGCTTTATGATAGCTAAAAGGTGGGAACAAGCCCAGTGTCCTATCAGTTAAAAAGATAAAATGTGGCCCATCTACACACTGGACTATTATTTGGCCATAAAAAGGAGCAAAGCACTGACACTCACTACATTGTGGGTGGACCTTGGAAACGATGGTCAGTGAGAGGAGCCAGACACAAATGGCCACACAGTGTGTGTCCCCATGTATGTGACATGTGAACAGGCGAATCCACAGAGGCAGGAAGTGGGTCGGTGAGTGTCAGGGGCTGGGGGAGGTGGGTGGAGAGGGACTGCCAATGGGGACGGGGCTTGTTTTGGCGGTGACGGAGTGTTCTGAAACTAGACAGTGATGATGGCTGCACAACCCTTCAGTGTGCTACCGCCTCTGGTTTTACAGGGTGAACTGTATTGTGCAGGATAACTCAGACACTAAGGCCTCTCCCTCAGGGGAGGGCATGCGGGAGTGTGACTGAAGAGGCCTCGTGAATGCAGTGGCTGCTGGACCTTCGTCCATCGCTGCCCTGATCAGAGGCCTCCATTCCCCCTGTGGCTGCTCAGGTCCCCGTGGTGCCTGGCTGTGGAACCACTGGCCCCCACCCCCACCCAGCCTGAATTGGAGTCCTGGGTTCCCGTGTCTGTCATGTGATCTTGTAAGGGCAGACCTTGCCACTGAAGGAGGACACCTGGGGCCTGTACCAAACCCTTCCCAAACCCTGCACTCGGCAGTGTGCCCTGCCTGGGACGAGGCATGGCCTACACCCTCCCTGTGGCTACTATGGAAGAGCCCACTTCCCGGAGTCCTGCTTGTCCTCTCCCAGGCCATTACCAATGGCCATCTGTGTGCTTTTGTGCCCTTCTGCCACCCGTCCCAACTTCAGGGGCTTGCTGACCTGAGCTCAACTGGGCAATAAGAGGGACGAGGGCCCTCTTCTTAGGGCTCTGGAAATGGCCATGTTGGTGACCCCAACCCAGAGATGGGGGGCTGCAGCCCACGACTTTCCTCCCCAGTGTGTGGACTCCAACCTGACTTCCTCCCTGGGTATGTACAGGAGCAGCCTGCTTAGTTTCATGATCAGGTCACTGAGGCCCAATGTGGGACTGTACCTTGGAGGTCTCTGGCAGACTTGGGGTTCCCCAGTGAAGGTCACCCTCCTCAGGGCCTCCAGCAACCTTATAGTTGGAGGTGACCAAGGAACCCACCCAGCAAGTTTTTCCTGTCTGCCCCTACTGTCCCTCGGCCCCTTCCTGGAGCCACCTACCCTCGTCTGGGGGTTTCGCCTCCGTAGGGGTGCAGGCCCCAGCACTGCCCTACACCTACCCCACCCTGGAGCCCAGAGGCTCAGTCACTGTGTCCAGGCCCCTCCCTTCCCCACTCCTCCCCCAGGCTTGGCAGGAAGGGTGAAGCTGGTGAGCACTGGGTCCTCCGAAACCCAAGTCAGGGGCCCCCAAGTGATGTAAACCAGGTGTCCAACCCACATGGAAGGGGCCCCTAAAACCCTCCCCACTCCCCAGGTTCCCTCCAACGAAACACAGAAGAACATCAAAATCAGGCAAATGAGGCAGCAGCGGTCGTAACAGGCTGCGTTTAGTGGTTTTTTTATGTACAAGAAAAATGATTTTTATGTCCGGTTTTTCATCATCTTTTGTCTTTTTGTTTTTGTTTTTATTACCTTTAAAGCTTCTCCCCCCACCCCCCAAAAGTGCATTTTTATCATTTTTTTAAATCTCCCACATTTTATAAAGACTCTCAAATACAGTCTATGGAATGTCTGTGCTCTGTGCCCCCGTCCCCCCATTCACCAGGCCTGGTCCCCCAAAGTCCAAGGCACCTTGTGTCTGGGCCTGGGTGGGGCTGGAGGGTACCTGGGCATCAGGACCCCTGGCCGTGGCCTCCAGGCAGCCCGGGCCGTGGGGTGCAGGTCTCCCCAGCCCCCTCACCTCCTGGTCCTGCCCCCCACCCCACTATGAAAATTTATATATTTAGTGCGAGCTAGTCTTAACTCTGAGGTTATGACTCCTAGGCGCCCGGGCCCCCAGGTCCTGACCCGCCCTGTGCTGGCCGACACCGCCACTCCAGGAAGGCTGCTTCCTCAGCTTAAATAACTTTTTAAAATAAAACTGCAAATATAAATATCTTTCTTTCTCAAAAAATAGGATTTTTGCTTTTTTTGTTGGTTTTTAATTTTTTTTTCCTTTCACTCTCTGTCTTGCCTCCTACAATCCTGGCCGCCTGGATGGCCTCGGTCCCAGAGGGCCCTCGCCCCTGCCTTGGTCCCCCACGTGTGACACAAACAACAGGTCTCAGTAGTGCAGACTCCCCAGAAGACCCTGGATGGGGTTAGAGGACCCTCCCTTCCCACCTGAGACCCCCCTCAGAAGGAAGCAGAGGGACAGCCCTGTAGAAACAGGGTGACAAGACGAGATGGCCACACGGGGTTCCCGGGCAGGCCGCCCGAAGGGCAGACTTTGGTATGGCCTGTTGGAGCCTGGCTGGGCGCAGGCCCGCACCCGTGCCCGGCTGGGCCTGGTCCGGCACTTTACATTCACTGGTTTTTAAATTATTTTTTTTTTTGGCCTTTTTTTTTCTTTTAATCTCAAAAGGCGGGGTCAGGGTCAGGGTAGGGGGGCTACGCAGGGAGCAGCAGCAAGGATATTTACCTTCCTCTCCAGGTCCTGCAGGCTGGAGACCACACCAGGTGGAGGCTCTAGGCCCCCAGTCCCACCACACCCGCCACCCCTGCCGCAGAGCTTGCCCCGGAGCCTCCACCTGAAGTCCCCAGCCTGGACCTCATTCTCACACACATGCGCGCACACACATCCACACAACTTCACCAAGATGATGGAAATAACAATTTCACTTTGTCTTTTTTCTTTTTTGTACCAGGCAGTTAAAAAAAACACCCCAAAAAAAGAAAACACAAAAAAACCCCAAACAACCAAACAAAAAAACTGTTTGCTGTGTCCTTTCCGACCAGTCAGCACGTTCCCCCTCAAATATTTTGTTTCCTGAAACACGAGAATTCAGCAGTATCTTTGGCAACACTTTATCACAACCTTAATTTAAAGAATAAAAATAAAATCGATCCACATCTATATACAGTATGTGATTGCGCGGAGTTGGAGGCTGGGCTGGGCGGGTAGGGGTCCCGGCTCTGGGCCCATGCAGATGCTGTGGCCCCCGGGACAGGCTGGCGGGCAGCAGAAGAGGGGTTAAGGCGGAGTGGGTGGGCAGGGCTGCGGAAGCTGGGGTTTAGTGCAATTCCCAAGGAGCTTTGTGTTA